CAGAAGGGAACTGTTGTGCACAGTCATAGTTGAAATAGAGGCTCTAGGACTGCCAGTCAGGGTAAAGAGGTATAGACAGGTACTTCTGAGGCACATACAGAGAAAAGAAGGCACTTATGAGCTCTTCCTCCAAAAGCTTTGTTTGGGTTATTAATTGTTGCATAATAAATACCCTGAAGCTCAGTGGTCTTAAAACATCTGTTATTATCTCTCATAGTTCTGCACGTTGATTGGGTTCAGCTAGGAGGTTTTGCTTTGACCCTTTCATGCAATTGCACGTACATGACAGCTGTGGCTGGAATCAGCTAGCTTTACTGCACTGTATTTCCAAGTTGGTTCACTTACATGGCTGGAAATTGATGTCTGTCTTCTAGGAGCTCAGCTGGGATGCTGAGCAGAGCACCTATAAGTGGCTCCTCTGTGTAGTTTGGGATTTCCATAGCATGGTGGCTGGGTTCTCAGAGGGAATGACTGAAGAGCAAGTTCTAAGAGGCCCAGGAAGATCCTACAGAATTCTTTATCATTACACTAAGAAGTCATACAATGTGGGTCAAGAGCAAGTCACTAGGCCAGTTCAAGTTCAAGAAGAGGGAACTACACAAGGGATTAAATCCTAGTATATATAGCTCATTGGATAGTTATATTTGGAGATTAGATAACACAATCTGTTATTATTATTATTAAAGTATTATTGATACACATTCTTATGAAGGTTTCACATGAAAAAACAATGTGGTTACTACATCCACCCATATTATCATGTCCCCACAACACCCCACTGCAGTCACTGCCCATCATTATAGTAAGATGCCACAGAGTCACTACTTGCCTTCTCTGTGCTACACTAGATAACACAATCTTGATTATCCTCATATTAGAAACTTATCTTTAAGGAACACTTTAACCAGACAGCTTTAATAATAATAGTGATGATGGGTCTGAAAATCAGAAGTCTGGGGATCACGTAAACCAATTAGGGGATCTGAGCTGAAGCTGGGGAAGAAGTGGCAGGAGAAAGGAAGAGGGTTGGGGGACATCTCTCAGGGGGCAGGCAGTCAGACATGCCTACCTCTTAAAATTCTATCATAGATAACATTTTTACAAAGGACCTAGTGCACTGCAACTGTTCATCAGATGTGTACTGACTTATTTTCAAGCTTATAAATAGTGTTTTATTTCCACCTTCAGAAGGGTTTTGGTATAAAAAATAAGTTGCAAGAAAAGACTTGATTAGCAAGGATATAGCTTCTCCTCTGAACTTTTGTAGTCTATAAAACTGGGTACTTGATCTATATTTTTGTCAATTGCTCTATGATTACTCATTATTTGCAAGCTATATTCCCTCAGGCTCTTGTGCTGATTTGGTTTAACAACCCAGATCCACATTTTCATTCATCACAATCCCCCTCACAACCCCACTCTCTCCATTACTTAACACACAGTATAAGAACGTTTCCTGAATCAACAGCTTCAGTATCACTCCACAAATGGACATTCTACTTCCTTGAACAATGGTCACTGATTGTGGACACTTGTAGCAGTGATTTCTTTTTCATCCCTTCTATCTCTTGCTAATTTGGAGCTTTGTATTCTCAGCATTCTCCACATGTCCTTGTTCACCAAATCCTTTTGTCCATAGAAATATTAACTGTAGGGTCAGTCACACTATATTTTGGCCAAGACTTAAGAAATGTGGAGTACAAATAAAATGTGGAACACTTAAGAGTATCTGGTAGTTAGAGCATCTCCACTGTGGAAATTAAGGCAAGAAGGTATTCAGTTCCTCCTGATCTGAGCCTTTGATCTCCTGGTGGAAAACATGCAGAAAGTAGCTGACCATTTGGCACTAAAACAAATAATGCTTTAGAATGAGAGGTCTTGCATTTTCTAAGCCTGTATAATGTTGTGACTATTATGTATATGCTACAAGTTCTCTTTCCAGGTACAGACTGCATTCTGGTGATGCACTCTCCTACAAAGGCATCTTAGACCTCCCTTTCACATTCCCACAGCCACCTTGACTACCAACTACCATCTGTGACCCTCAGATTGATTCTTAGCTGCAACAGTCTCCTACTCTCCTTCTACTGTGCAAACTTTGGTCCTACTGTGGTTCCTATATGGCCATCAAGTTCCCAAAAGCCATCTGTCCCTTTTGCACTGTGGGTGCTGTTACCCTTTGTAGTTACTCTTCAATCACTTTCCTGCCTTCAATTCATAGAATAAGCTGTTGCATATATATAAAGAAGATACCAGAGGCAAATAGATAAAATAAAAATCTTATCTCTTATTTGCATAGGACTTTAATCTCACAAAGAATACTCATACTTTATCTAATTTGCTCTCCATTGAATTTTTATTTCAGTGTCCTCAAGTTTTCAAGGTGAAGTGATTTGCCTAAGGGTAGAGTGTGCGTTGGAGGTAAAGTCTGAGGTATGACCCCACCTAAATGCTGGTGTGAGCTGTTTCCACTACCCACACCTGTCACAACAATCATTAGGTAACATCTTGCCTATCTATCTATTAATATAGAACATTGCATCAAGTGTTATATGTTTACAAGTAAAGATATTTTTTATTTTTGAGGGTGGAATAGGGTAGGGCAAAAAAAATCCTTTTTATAATTAATCTCTCTAAGCAAGCTACTGTGAAAACTTGGGCAGGAAAGCTCTGAGGTCCCGATGGATTTCTTTCGCCACACCAGTGACTGCTTACAGAATGTCCTTGGAAACATTCAGCCACATTCATTATTCCCTGAGTTATAAATGACTGCAACAACTGGGAACTAAACTAGAAAAAAGCAAACTCACATATTCTGTGTCATCATCCTTCATTTCTAGGTCTCTGCTAAACACTCTCATAGTTCAAAGATATCAATCTGAGCACAAACATTCTCAGGTCCCATGCAAATCCCATGAAGGGACATTTGGGTCTTGGAGTTCTTTAGCTGTTGTTCACATCACAACAACCCAAGTATCTCTTTGTTAATAGTTGCACTATCTAGCGTTCACAAAATATATAAATTTCATATGTTTAATGTAACACCTAATATTTACAAAATGAAATCATACCATATGAAGTGTTCTAAGTGCATTTTTTTACTTTAAATAATGTAAATACGTTTCATGTTCTTAAACAGATATCCCAAATATCATTTCATTATTAGTGTAATATTATATCCTAAGATTTCTATAATTCACTTGAATAAGTCTCAGTAGTAGGACATTTAAATTGCTTGTTTTTTTTTACATATATAATATTATTACCATGAAGATTTTATAGCACATATATAGTCATTGCCTTTTGAAAAATTCTGAGAAGTGCAAGATCTGTCTCAAAGGTTATGCCCATTTTAAACATAGACAGTGGATAAATGTTTTGGATCCTAAGGTAATTTGGTGAGGACAGCACAGAGGGATGGCCAAACAACATGAGCATGTGGGAGCTAAATGGTGCAGTAGGCACGTAGAATAAGGGAAATGTCGCAATCAAGGACAATACTACCAAAGAAACGAGAAAAAGCTCTATCACAGAGAATCTTTTAGACAATTGTGTTTGACATTTATATTTGAGTTGACTGAAAGTTAAAATCAAATTTGTTAGTGTGTAATGGGGCTAGAACAATAGGTCCACTAATAACAGGCCAATTAAATTTTGGGTCTGAAAAAGGAACTCAGAGATGGAGCTCAACCACTTTGTTTTCTCAATTAGGAAACAGACCCAGAGAGAAAGGAAATCCAGCTGTTGGAGGGAAAGCTGGTTCTCAGTCCCAGTCTTCCATCTTTACTGCACTGTTCTTGCCAAGCACCATACTGATTCTTCTCACATCTTAATTCATAAAAGCACAGAAATCATAGCTTTCAATCTGACCTCTCCTGTGTGGTTAACTGTTCTACTTCTGTCTCAGGTAGAGTCTTGCAACATCACACACATTCACACTCATACACACACACACGCACAGACACTCATAATCATGCACACACCACTAGCTGCAATGGCAGCATCCAGTTGAATGGAATGTTCTGCCAATTTTGTTTGTATTAAATAATTAGTGATATCCTCAGCCACCAGGCCAGTGTTGCTTTATAGAGATGGGAATGGAAATCTAGGGAAAAATACATGGCTAATGATGAATTGTGAAACCTGATTTATTCAAAGTATCCAATTTTATAAAGGCAGGTAGGATGTGGCATGGAAACTGAGAGCAGGAGGTGAGAAATTTAGACGTCCGAGGTAATGTCACTTTTACTCATAGTCCTTCTTGCCTCCTCTATAATATGTAGCCCTTCTTAGAATGTAATGGGGATACTCTGAGACTCAGAATATTCATCCCTGCCACTTAGTAACAGCTACCTTTGCAACATATGGACCTTAAGACCTCTCTAAGAAGTGGGTGTAGCCACAGCAGGCCATGTGTCATGACAGTCACATTAGGAAAAATAGTCTGTGCCAGAAAGGCTTTCCAACAGTGTGAAGAGATCAGAAGCCCACTTATGGGCTGGTGGGAAAGATAGAGATCTAGTTCACTCCAAACCTCACTGACTTATGCAGAGCAGGTTTATATCTGATGGATCATAGCCCACTTCAAAATGCTGGGATTGATTCAAAACTAAAATAGAATTTCTTAAGGTAGTTGTGGGCAGACAATAACTCCAAGACTCACTCAAAATCTGAACTGTAAAGAGATATGCCAAGCCTCTCTGCCCCACCCAGGAATTCAGACTCAGGGATCTCATCTCCCATAAAAACACAAAGCTCTGAAAGATCAAAGTATCTCCATCGACCTGTGAAGATGAAGTATATGCCTCTGAGCTCACAGATGGCATAGGGGAACCAAGAGATATAAATAGGTTGTTACTTGTAAGGTAGGGCTAAAAGTGGACAATTTAGACCACATGTCCTCTTTAAAGGTAAGAGAGAATAATCCTAAATTTTAAAGTCCAATGAAATTATTTAAGTATCCAAATAAAAGAAAAAGCTTGGCAGCCTCCATGGTCTTCTTTCTCTCCATAGGTCTTCTGAGAACAAGCCATACAGTGGAGCCCATGGAACAGTTAAATCAGTCCCAAGTGTCAGAATTCATTTTGCTGGGACTGACCAGCTCCCGGGATATACAGTTTCTTCTCTTTGCACTCTTCTCAGTTCTCTATGTGGTCACAGTTTTGGGTAACTTTCTTATGGTTGCAGTATTTTACATCCCAAACCTGAACACCCCCATGTACTTTCTCGTTGGGAACCTCTCCTTCATGGATATGATCCTTGCTTCTTTTGTCACCCCTAAGGTTATTGTGAACTTGGTAAAAAAGCACAAGACTATTTTCCTTTGCTGAATGCTTCACACAGATCTTTTTCCTTCACTTAGTGGGTAGAGCTGAAATGGTACTTTTGGTCTCCATGGCGTATGACAGATAAGTGGCGATTTGTAAGCCCCTACATTACATGACCATCATGAACAGGAAGGTGTGTGTCTTGCTGGTAGTGACCTCATGGTTCTCTGGTCTTCTTCATTCAGGGCTTCAGATCCCCTTTGTGGTGAACTTGCCTTTCTGTGGCCCCAATATAGTGGACAGCATTTTCTGTGATCTCCCTCTGATTACTAAACTCGCCTGCAAAGATACTTATATTGGACAAATAGTCATTGTTGCCAACAGTGGGATGATCTCTCTGAGCTGTTTCATTATTTTACTCATCTCCTATAGTCTGATCCTCATCACCATTAGGAGCCAGTCTTCTACCAGGAGGTGCAAAGCGCATTCCACCTTGACTGCTCACATCACAGTGGTGTTTCTCTTCTTTGGCCCATGCATCTTCATCTATATGTGGCCCTTCAGCAACCACTCTGTGGATAAGTTCCTTGCTGTATTTTACACCATTATCACCCCTATCTTGAACCCAATTATCTACACTCTGCGGAACAAAGAAATGAAGATGGCCATGAAGAAACTCTGGAGTGATTTTGTGAGCTTGAGGGAAGACACTTAGAAATGTAGTTTAGACAGAAACAGTGTATTTTTTTAAGTTTTTAGGGCTTTCTTTTAAAAACTGTGATTGATTCATACAGAGTAAGACAAGTAAAGCGCAGAAAAACTATAAAAATCAGCCATTCAAGGATATTTTGTACCAATAAAAATGAACAAATGACTTTAGATTTTTTAAGTGATGCTGACTGATTTATAAAAATTGTCAATAAAAACTTCAATTGTATTTAAGAGGGGTTGAAAATACATGCTTTATCAAGTTATTAAGATGGTATTGGTTGAAAGGGAAAACAAAGTGACTCCTTAGAAAGTCTATCAGATTTTTCTGTACAGTCAAAATAATTTTGGCCCAAAGCTGGTTCTCTGTAGTCTCAACAACGTTAATGTCTGAATCAGCACTAATGTGCGGTGCCTCCTAAGAAAACAGGAACTCTGTGTCTTGTACCTACCAGCACCTGCAAAGTGCACTCACTTTTCTTGTTGCCTCTAAAATGAGAGTTTTTGTAGATGCCTTTAAAGCTGTTAATATTATCAAATATTATTCTCATCTTTCTACCACCAAATTTCTCAATTTCAGAAACTATGTACCTGATGCCACTGATTTTTCCTTAAGAATAATTTGAATGTAAAAGATGATATTCATAATAAATTAAATTGTACATGCTATTATTTTCTAGGGATTTAATATAATGTCTTCTGGATTCCATCACATCACTACTAATTTCCACTTACAGAACACAATTCAGTGGAGTTTCAAAAGCTCTGAATTTGAATAGATTCGTTCACAACTTGGCACTTAGTCCTCTCTGTAACATATGCTATTAATACATGAGATAAAATGAGCAGCTATAGAAAGTTATATTTTATTTTTTTAACAAATCTAATTGCAGGCAAGGTGTAGTCCTAACAACATAAGATCAGTATGTATTTGTTGGTAAGTTATTTTTCTTACTTCTACATTTTCTTTACTTTCTATCTTTTGACTACAAATACAGAAACAGAATTTAATGATCATGGAAGGCCTTGACTAGGGCATAAATCTGAGGCAGAGGCAGCAACTGTGGTTATAAACAAAAAGAGAAGTAGGAATATAATCCTCTATATTTGCTCAATGAAAAATAAAATCTGAATAACACAACAAGAAAATGTTTTATTTAACTTTAATGAATGGCAAAAGTTAAGAACTAGACTCAACATTTATGATGGATTAAGCTATGATACTATGATCAAGCTATGTGAGAATGCATATCTGATAAACTCCTTAAGGATTATTCATGTTCCATTGAAAAAACTAAAGAAATCTTCCCATACTACAGAGCAAATCAAGAGTTTGTGAACATGAACAATAACTGAAACAGAAGCAGCATAACAGACAAGCACACACATTTCTTCTACTATAAATGTACACACCTCAATGGCTCCACTACTATTTTCCCCATAAAAAGATACATACTTCAAGAAATAGCTAGGGAGCTGTGATAGCAGATTTCCTGTGTTAGCCACAACAACCACTAGAGTGCAAGAAAGAAGCCATGGTATTTAGAGAACTCTTGTGTCATGCAAAAGTAGAGTTCTATTCGACACATCCATGATGGAAACTCTTACCCCTGCTAGAGATGGAAGCATGGGGACAGCTTTATAGATGGTCACACACCAATGCGCACATACCTGGGGGTGTTCAATAGTGACCAGAAGAATCCCTTCCCCCAAATGCTCACTTAGTATAGTCAGCCACACAAACTGAAATTCCACTACTTTCTGTCATTCTTTTAGTGATAAACCATTTCCTTTTAAAAATATACATTATTTAAGTATACAAAAATACAAACGGTATCATATTTGCTTGTTTTCAGTAATGTATATCAGACCATAAGTGAGTTTATTAATGCCTTTCTCCTATGACAAATAGCTGAGATTAAAACCCTGCAGAAATGGTGTCCTGCTGGGTATAGAGACAAGGAATAGATAGGGGAAATGGTAGAGAATGACAGGGAAAATGATCTAGAAGATACATAGATTGTACACATTTTCTAACATGCTTTGATCCTATTGTAATGAAATTTAAGGAGTATTGGCCAGTAGGAGAAAACAACTTTAAAGAAAGTCCTGTTTCTGTAACTGGAAAATGAAAATAGGTCTAAGTATAAGGCAGTGCCCTGAATATTTGGGATTCTAGCTGAAGTTCCAGAATCTGCAGTCATTGCTATCCAGGGAAGTCACATTCTTAAAGGAACAAGTTAGTGCCTGAATTCCACACAAACGCTTTGCAAATGTTCATAGCAGCTCAATTTATAATCACCAACACTTGCAACAACCCAAATGGATAAACAAAATGTGATATATCCATATATTAAGCAATAAAAAGTAATAAACTAGAGGTGGAAAATCCACAACGGCTATGTGAGAAGTTTGAACAATCATCTTTCCGGAAAAACTAATGAAACCAAACATAATTTTCAGACCAAAAAAATAACCCTTTGTAGTCTCTGGAAAATGACCAGATGCTATACAACAGTAAGAATAGGAGGAATATATATTTTAGTCAGAGTCTGCTCCTATCTCTCCCAGCTCTGTGCTGTGGAAGTTCTTTCCTGCATAGATGGTACATCTCATAAGGACAAGCAGCTCCCATTGTCCCTCCAAGCTCCAGACCTGGGATAAAGGGAATCCATCCTGAGTGGGGTCAAGGAAGGCTTTGATAACTGGTGCCTCCCATCTTCCCTCTTGACTCTGGCTCCATATTATGGAGGTCTGACCAGGGTAAGCATGGCAGACAGGAGGACCTGAAAGCTCCATGGTCCTGACTGAGGGAGCTGACTTTACCTGGAAAACAGCATGGAAAATTCATGTCCAGGACTTATTGCTTGAAACAATAGAGATCACACTGGGAGCACCTCTAATGACCTTACAAAACAAAAGATTGGAGACTGTTGAGAATTAGGCTTGGGGTTGATTAATGATTGTGCATTGAGTCCCCTATACAGAATTTTATTGTTGTTAACAACCATTTGATCAGTAAATATGAGGGATGCCCTCTCAAAAAAAATAAATAAAATAAAATAAAATAATAAAGGTATAATAAAGGAATACTATGAATAGTTATATATGGTGACAAATCAGATGACTTATAGGAAATGGACAAATGCCTAAAAAGACACACAAAGAAATAGAAAATCTGAAGAGGCATTTAAGAAATAAAGATATTTTGTTAGCAATTTAAAAACTTCACAAAGGACAGGTCCAGACACTGATGGCTTCACTGGTAAATTCTACTAAATATTTAAAGAGATAATACCAATTCTCCACAAACTCCTCCAGAAAAGAGAGGAGTAGAGAATACTTCACAACTCATTCTATGGGAGCAATTTTATCCTGATACCAAAGCCACAGAAGGACAGCACAAAATAAGAAAACCAGGTACAGGCGGTGGGTGGGGGGAGGGGGGCAGGGCTCGATAATATGGGTGAATGTAGTAACCACATTATTTTTCATACGAAATCTTCGTAAGAGTGTATACCTTAATTTTAAAAATGTAAAATAAAAAAATTTAATTTAATTTAATTTAAAAAATAACAAATCAGAAAAAAAACTACCAACTAATAGTTGTCATTATAGACTCAACTATGCACTACATACCAGAAACACACTTCAAATATAAAGGCATAGACAAGTTAAAAATGAAAGAATGAAGGAGAAGAACAAAGACAGAGGACTGATGCTACTCAACTTAAAGATTTAACTATAGAACTACAGTAAGCAGGATAGTATGGTATTGTCAAAAGAATAGACAAATAACAACAGAACAGAACAGAAGACCTAGAAATAGACTCAAATAAATATGGAGAACTCAGTGTGATGCTTTGCAAATCTACCAGCCTGATTAGGATGATAAGAGGTGGTATCTCTGGGAAAGTGATGAGAATGAAGAGGAGGATGTTGTGGCGATCGATGAGGAAATGAAAGAAATACCCCATGCCATCCAAACCTTAATACAAAGGAAAATTCCAAATAACAATTATCCTTCAGAGAAAATTTATTTCTAATTAACCCCTAATACAAAAGAAAATTCCAAATAATAATTATCTCTAGATGTCTAGGAGAAAATTTATATTCCTCTTCTGTCCCTTGAAGTTGCAAATTTTATCATGTCTTTGAAATGTAAACACCCCAGGAAATAACCAAAACACTGCTTGCAGAGACTGAAGGGAAAAAAAGGTGGTGGTGGGTAGAATGGGCAGGGCAGTGTGGGTGTTACAAAAACAGACTGCTGTAGAAGTTCCCTTGCCCAGAAATCTTGTCCATAGCCTCTATAAGATCACATATATCAGTCAAAAGCTTTAGCCATGTGAGTGGGTACCTGATTCATGGCTAAAGTTTTGGAATGAAAGATACGGGTTTTTTTTGTGTATGTCTCTCTGTGTATGTCTATGGATGTTTAATATATACTTGCTGTGATGTTTTCCTTCCTTCAGAGAGTATCACCAAAATTGATTTGTAAAAGAGCTAAACTGTTTTTTAAAAAATGACTAGAAATAATAAGAATGAAAGAAAATGAGTTAATACGAAAAGTAGATAAGGAAAATAAAATGTTTTTTGTTCACTTTTGTTTGGATAAGGAAATGTATAGGGACATGGGGGGCTTTTTGGTAAAGGAAGTAAAAAGCCTAAAATAAACAATTGTTCCAGAGTAAAATAAAATAGGACAAAGCTGAACAGATGTAGAAATTTGTAGGTTTGTAGAAATGGAATGAGAGAGGAATTTTATTTGTGGTCAGGCAAACATTGGAATGGATTTATTTAAGTTAAAAAGGATAAAAAAGAGAGTTTTAATATCCAAAGTATACTGGCGGAAAATTAGAATTTGGCTTTCTCTCTATTAAAAGGACAAAGCTTTCTTAAATTATTGATCTGCTCTTAATAAGAAACTGTAAACAAGATTTTTCTTTATCTTTAATGTAATCTGCCTAGAAAACAAAAATTCTGTGTCTGTTCTTTTTCAGATCT